CCTCTCCTCCTTGCAGCCCTTCTGCAAGGGGATGTCCAATTTCCCCTAGATGGGCCCTGGGTCCCCACTCTGCACTCCCCTTCATTCACAATGTTGTTATTTTTTTTTTTTTTTGTCTTTGATGCCTGATACCCCTTCGCTCTTTTTCATAGAGTTCACCTTCTGGCATTATTTGTTCAGCATACAGATTGAATAAGTATCGTAAAAGGATACAATCCTGACATACCTTTCCTGATTTACAAACACAGCATTCCCCTTGTTGGTTGTCCAAAATCACAGATACCCCATTAGGTTAGCATATCAAAATATGAAGTTATTCTTTCTCAACATCCAAGTCTATACAATCGTGAAGGCGGTGCTTCCATCTCTTTTAACACTTCCCAAACAATTCTGCACTCTTTGATTTATATGTCAAACAGCAGTTTTGTTATCCATGACAAATGTGACTCAAATCACATTCCTTTCAAGTGTTGAGTTTGGGGAACAAAATGACTTCAGAACTGGCAAGATCAGGTTGGAGATCTTGAGGTAAGATTTCCCAGTGCTACCCTTGAAGAATGAGATGTGTTGTCATGATGGGAGGAAATTCCTCAATGCAACTTTTGTGCTGGTTTTTTTTCTCACGAATGCAATTTCCAATTTTCTTAAAACTTCTCATAATAAGCCCCTATCTGTGCCCTTTGAGAAAAAAAATCTATCAAGATTAACCATTTGGGGGTCTCCTAAACTATAACCTTCTGAGATGATTTCTCTGCCTTGAATTCAACTGGCTCAGCAGATCCCTTCACAAGTCACTTTTATTGGACTTCAGTCTCAGAAACCCATTGGAGCAATTCTACTATGTCTTATAGGGTCGCAGCAAGTCAGCATCGATTCAATGGCAGCGAGTTTGGTCCTGGTGTGGTTAGTAAGATGTTGTCAAGCGTATTACTGAACACCTTGCCTGCAGCCATCCCCTGACCACAGGGACATGCTTAAACACGTTTTGTTTGAATTAAACGTGTGCATGAACTGGAACTTCAGTAGCAATACTTTTTAAAATTTGTCCTTGTCTGCAACTCGTTGGTTCATCGGGTCTTTCCCATCTTCAGTTCCCCACTGTGGATTTCTGATCCCCAATTCAGAGTTCCTCAAGACTTAGATGGTTCTCTTGTATTGGTGGAAAGGGTCCAAAGGGCGGTTCATTTACATCACCATCTTGCAAGAATGCTGAGGTTTCTGCATTTTGTAAAATTATTTGTGAAATGACTTCAAGGACTAGGATAAAAGTAAATTCGTTCCGAGAGGATTTAAATTTGCTTCTGCTAGGCAAACTGATCTGTCTTGGAAGAAGTAAGACCAGTGTGCTCCTTAGAGGCAGGATAGCAAGGCGTCATCTTACATACTTTGGATGTGTCTCTGAGAGAGACCAGCCGCTGGAGAAGTACCTGTTTGGCAGGGTGGAGAGGCAGCGAAAGAGGAAGGCCTAAACGAGATGGAGTGACCAGTAGCAATACTTTTTGCTGCAACCATGGGCTCAAGCACAGGGACAATTGTGAGGATGGCACAGGACCGGGCAGGTTTGCTCCCTCGTGCACAGGGTCAGAACTGACTTGATGGCACTGAGTAACACAGACCCAGGCTATACCAGACGGAGACAGTTTTCTTTTTTAATCATTTTATTGGGGGCTCATACAACTCTTATCACAATCCATACATACATCAATCATATAAAGCACATTTGCACATTCGTTACCCTCATCATTCTCAAAACATTTGATCTCCACGTAAGCCCCTGGCATCAGCTCATTTTCCCCTCTCCCTCATGAATCCTTGATAACTTATAAATTATTATTGTCATATCTTACACTGTCCACGTCTTCCTTCACCCACTTTTCTGTTGTCCGTACCCCAGGGAGAAGGTTATATGTACATCTTTGTAATCGGTTCTGCCTCTCTACCCCACCCTCCCTTGGCCCTCCCTGTATCGCCACTCTCACCACTGGTCCTGAAGGGATCATCCGTCCTGGACTCCCTGTGTTTCCAGTTCCTATCTGTACCAGTGTACATCCTCTGGTCTAGCCAGATTTGTAAGGTAGAATTGGGATCGTGATAGTGGATTGGGATGAAGCATTTAGGAACTAGAGGAAAGTTGTATGTTTTATCATTGCTATACTGCACTGACTGGCTCATCTCCTCTCCACGACCCTTCTGTAAAGGGATGTCCAGTTGCCTACAGATAGGCATTGGGTCCCCACCCCACACTCCCCCTCACTGACAATGATATTTTTTTGTTCTTTGATGCCTGA